AGAAATAGGTAAAGGTAAAAGTAAAATGTTAGATATTGTTCATTAAACAGTCATATAGAAATATCCTGATAAAGTAAATAGTAATATAAACTCAAATATAAATAGCTCCTTACTTATAATATTCCTAATTGTGAAACTTTTATAATGTATAACACAGATTATTAATTAATAAAAGTCTAAATCGAAATCTTGTATTTTGTAAATCTAGAATTTAAAGTCCAGACTTTCCAGGATTAGACTAGACTTAGGATTTTAAGTCTAGACTGAAAGTCCAAATCCTAGTCTAATCCTGACGAGCCAAACGCAGCCTTAAGCGTTTCATTATCTCTACTCAGCTCTTTCATCGTCTACCAGAACCCTTGCAAGTATAAGCCCTTTACCTTTTTTATTTTTTTATCTGTCCCCGTTAGTGACTGTTCCTTCCCAGTGCTGCCCAATAACGTCTGCAACCTCGATCCAACCTTTTTCGAGGCGTGCCTCCATACCTCCAAGCAAACTGGGGGGGCTGGCATCCAATCGCCACTCTCCCCAACCTCTACCCTTGTCTCACCCACTCCAGCCAAGTTCGACAAGCCCGTCGAGTCTGCACGGGCCGCTCTCCGGTGTTCGCAACAGGGCAGCCCGCCCGTCCTAAGGATAGGACGAGGACGGACTGCGACTCGTAGTCCGTCCGGTCCTGGAGAGGATTTTGCCCGGGGCTTTTGGCATGAGGACGGGGAAGACAATAGGGCCCCACCACTAGTTTATAAAATATCTTAGATTGTGGGGCCCCACGGGGCCCTATCAAATAGTTATTTATCAAGGCAGCGAGGAAAAAAACCATACTTGTTATATTCTGGTATCGTTGGTAATGCTCGCTGGATAAGAAAGATAAGAAATATAGGAGATAACGAACTGGTAGTATATTGTTAATACAAGAGAATACAGTTTATAACGTAGGGTATAGTGGGCTTACTATTTATTGTCTCTTTGAGACTCTTCTCTACAAATATAATTATGGTATCATTATACTCGCAGGTTAGTTCACCAGCCAACAGAAAGATTTTCCTACATGTACAACGCATTGCTGTAAAATCTCACTTGTTAGTCTCGGTCCCAGCCTGCCTAAACCTCTAATTTGAGATGATATGTAGGTTACCTGCGATGTGTACAAAGGCCCACAGATCCCCCACAGATCCCCACGAATCCCCACAGATCCCCGCAGATCCCCGCAGATCCCCGCAGATCCCTGCAGATCCCCACAGATCCCTACTGTCTACTAGTGAAAGTCTGCAGTCCTTTGCCATCACCTGCAGTCCTTACACCAGGATGGTAAAATTATGTCTCACCGTGTGGGGCCCATGGTCTTTGCCAAAACCTGCAGTCCCCAATATTGTCCGGACTGGACGGACTATGAACTTATAGTCCCGTCCCGTCCCGTCTTCTTGGCAGTCTCCCCATGGGGCCTCCCGGGCCCCCGGACCATTGCGAACACTGCCCCTCTCACCGCCCACTACCCAGATGCCTTTACAGACTTCCACGGAACGCCAAGCGGGGCTCCCTGCATCTATAAAACGAATCCAGTCTGGCCTAAACGCGAGGGCGGCCTGTTCACGGCCACCCCATCACACCTGTCTGGCGTGGGTTCCTCGAGGATGCTCAGGAATACCTGGATGCTAATCTCGGTGTCAAATTCACCGCGATCATGGGCTTTGGCTTCGCCAACGCTGGGGTGAAGACCCCCTTTTGCCCCTTCCTCGTGATCATCGGCGTGCCGCCCAACTCTCTCGCCTTTGATGCCGCAAAGAAGGCCGCCGACCACGTCAAGGGCACGATCCTGCGCAAGGCCGGCTTCCCCGAGATCGATGTCGCTGTCCGAGAGTGGGTGACAATCCTCTCTGGCCTGGGCCCGAAGCTCAGGTCCCTCAATCCCCTCATGGACCTCATCCCTGAGTTCCGCCATCCCTTTACGTCCACGCTGGGCCTCTCCATCGCCACGGCGCAGATGCCCTACTGTGAGGGCACGGTCGCCCTCTACTTACGCAAGGGCAATGACAACGACGAGGTCCTCGCCACCACCGCCGCCCATGTCGTTTGCCCTCCCCCCATGTGCTCCAACACTGGGGTAAAAGTTCGGAATGGCTTCCGGCAGCGCGTGGAGATTATTGCCCTTGGGAGCAAGGCCTACCAGGATGCTACCATCAACATCATGTACAGAATCGGCACCCTCCACGCAATTAACGACTCGTTGCAGAGCAAGATCCGTAGGTTGGGCCTGCTCCAGGACACAGACCGGAGGGATGCCGTGGCGGTTGCCACGATGCTCCTGTGGGCCGAGCAGGAGGCGGAGTAGACGAAGTGGTACATCGAATGCCTGGACCGGCTCCACAGCGACGTGACGAAGCTCATGAGCAGCCAGCAGCAGCGACCCATCGGCTTCATCCACCACGCCGACCCCATCGGCGCCGCCGACGGACCCAATGGATGCACGCTCGACTGGGCCGCTATCCAACTCTCCAAGGATGCGCTTGATTGGGCCAACTTCAAGGGCAACAAGGTGTATGTCGGTACGTTATTCTATCTCGTCTCGTCCCCGAAGTTCCAGTCCCAGGCTAAGTAACTAACCCATTACTATTGTCCCGTAGGTGGCAACATCGGGGTAGGGGATTATTGTGATGTCATGTTCCCCAACTGCTTGGACCGGGCTGGCTACCAGTACCAGCAGGACGGACTCCTCCAGGTCTGTGATTTCGTCCAGGAGAGTGAGATCCGCCAACCTGTGCAACTCAACGCCTATGGCGAGAAGGCGATGCCGGTCATCAAGAATGGCTTGGCCACGGGCACTACGGTGGGCTGGGTCAATGGACTTGAGTCTCTCGTTCGCTACTACTCGGGGTGCGAACTCGAGTTCACCGTGTTGGAGACTACCATCCTGTCCTACGGTAGGCGTGGCATCTTCTCTGACCGGGGAGACTCGGGTGCCATTATCCTCGACAGAGCAGGACGTATTGTCGCCATGCTCACCGGTGGTGGCGGCGCAGCCGACGAGACCGACGTTACTTACGGGACCGCATGGTACGACCTCTGGCCACACATCAAGAAGACCCTGCCCGGCTGCTAGCTCTACCCCCCTGTCCCCGACCGCTAGGTTCGTGCATCCCTTCTATACAAGTCCCCGGCATGAAGAACCCGTACACTGAAGAGGTGCTTTATGGAGGAGGGAATTAGGATTAAATTGTTTAGTGGCGGGAAGATAGCGCAGTTACTTTACCAGTAGTTTAGTTTAGAAACCGCGAAACGGAAAAAGGGGGAGTTTTTTGTAAAAAGAAAAAAGAAAAAAAAACAGAACCTGAACACAGGGGGGATCCTAGAAATAGGGAGAGCACAGCCAAGCAGGTAAATTATCCCTGTAAATGACCAAGGTAGAGAGAACTTACAAAATCCCAGCGAGTCGCGGACCCTCCCTGTAGAACACCAGCAATGTTTTTTCATGCCAGCCAAAACCACGGTTTCACTCACGGCCAAGCAAATAATACTTCAACTTCTAAGTGGGATAATGCAACCTTAGAAAGTGAGAAAAATTCTGGATGTTTCACAATCAACCCAATCTGGGGGTATTTATTGAATTTTCCCTTTTTCGAAAGTTCCAGAGACAGCAGGTGCAGAAAAATGTAGTTCATATAAAAAAGGGTTCTTATTGCCCAAGACTATCTAATAAGAATTGTCTCAACACATCTTGGCAGGATTTTAACTAACAAATTTTAAGTAACAAAGTCGCTGATAGTTGCTATTTTCACCCATTTCCGCACATTTTTTACTGTCTTAGGCAGTGGCAGAAAAGCTGGAACCTTGGTACTTGTAGTATAATATTCTATAGGAAAAAACTCAGACAGGGTAGTATCTAAAAGGTTTGCCCGACCGAAAGTAGTTAGTATAAAATAATACACTCACACCCCATTATCCCGGACGGCCACAATCTGGAGGATCTGTCCGGTATAGCGAGTTATCCAGAACAACGAGTCAAGTTTTGCTATGGAAATTTTTGGAATTCACAACATTTTCATACGGGATAGCGAGGTATCTGTATTATACTTTGTACAGATCCGGGACAGCGGTGTGTAAAAGAGGGAGAGGGGTGAATTAAGAAGTACTCGCCAATTCGTAAAGTATGTGGAAATAGAGAAAATTCCTTGGCCCCAAGATACAATTTTTGTCCAGTATAGTCAACACTGTTCCCCTCTGCGATGCAGTATTACTCAGGACTGTTTTTACAACCTAAACCTACAAGAAAGTCTGATGTTAAAGTTTGCTTAAATCTAGCAAATTCAACATTTCATTATTCACTGTAAATGAGCCTGACTGGTTTCATACCTTCGTCTGCATTATTATTTTTAAAATAACTCTTCTTTGTCCTGTGCTTTATACTACAAATATGACCAAGGTATATTATAGATTATAAACCTAGTCAGAAGCAACTTGAATGAACATCCAACTTCTCTTCCACCTTTACCCACTCTGCTGCTCTCCCTACTCTCTGTGTTCTCTGTGCTCTCTGTGTTCTCTGTGTTCTGTGCTCTCTCTGCTCTCTCTGCTCTCTCTGCTCTCTCTACTCTCTCTACTCTCTCTACTGTGGTATTTCCAACTAGCCAGTCTATCTGCTAGTAGGGTGGGATAAAGTGTACTATTGGCAGTAGTTTGTGTTTTCAGCAGTGATCAGATGGTTTGCACTGGGGGCAGGTGGAACTAAAGAGGCTGTCATCCTACTGTCTGAAGTCCTATGAACCAAGTGAGCTTGTTAGTAACAAGATTTCAACCCATTCTGGCATAGACTATAGTATATACTATATTATACTCAGAAGTTTTATAGTTCTCTAAAGTTTCTTATAGTTGCTACTGGGAGGAGTTTCTTATAGTCTATAATAGTTGATTCTTAACAGTCACCAACTTGAATAGTTCTTTACAGTCTCCAACAAGTGATTCTAAGTGGTTAGTCTAGCCACAGATTTAAAAAGCCAGGAGCAGTTAGGTTGACCTCATTAAAAGTATAACAATCCCTACCCATATAAATGTTTGTGTAACAAGTAATAGCTACTCTTTTCCAACTCAGTAGTCCCTAGTCTAATGTCTACATCATATCTAATTGCTGAGTTTGTAACTCCTATTGTATGATATCAACTGAATTAGCTAGAGGCCAATAGGTCTCTGGGATTATGACAGAGGTCTGAGAAGGATACTGAGTTTTCTTAAATAAAGTAATAAATCAAGATGTAAGAAAATGTACAGGTAGTATGGTTTGTGCCATTCAAAACCTGCACGAGGCTGAAGTGATGTGTTACATGTGGCTGTACCTCATTTGATGCCAAGCCTTGAATTTTCCATGGAATTATGGTCAAGGGTTTAAATAATAATATATTTTAAATAGATTTAAAGATAAATAATATGAGGTTATAATAAAAATAACAAGAGAAGAGAAATGTTAAAATATTAACAAATATATACAATAATCTTTTGAAATATATTATTATACATTAATCCAACTCTCTACTATTTTATTATATATACTAGAGAAATAATGGTTGTTGTCATTAGGGTTAATAATATTGCTTATAGGTTACAGGTCATATTTACTCTTTTTAGTGCATAATACAATATTTTTAAGCTAAAACCCTATTTCCTGAATAATGAATCTCTAATTACTAAGAAATCAAACTGTGGCTGATGTAACATTTTTCTCTCTTTCTCACCAAAAGTACAACTTTTTAAATTTGCAAGGATCTCCAACCAGGAACAAAAAAAATAAAAGAAAACCTCAAGGTTATTCTCCATCAAGTTCTCTTCAACACTGAGGTTTTTTTTTTCCCATAATGCTGCTAGTTGTAAAGCCTTGTCAATTTAAAAGTTGTGGAATTTCTGGTGCAGGTTTTGAATGGCATGAACCATATCCTGAAGAGCTGTACGCTCTTGAGTCCCATTAGCCCCTTATATAGTCACTCTTCATGCACTGGCAACCCTGACCCATATAACTAATAACTGTGAGTTATATGAAATCCTTCAGCCCAACTCCTATAACCACAGCTGATCATTATAGGGTCATTATAATATCTTCTATTCATGTACTATAGTTTCTAGATATATATAACAATTAATATTTGGTTCAAAATTATAATTGATAAATATATGTATATAAACTCAAATTTCAAAAAAAATAAAGAAAATTAATATGTAAGTACTTCTGGTGGAAAGTTACCTTATTGATGAAGTAGTTCATTAATTCAATATCATTTCCTTTTATATTCTAAATGAAATCTAATTGCTTTCTCAACCTTGACTTCACCTCAGAATGTTGTTTCTTAAATCCCTGTTCCTACCTCTTTCCAAGCATGTCATTTAGTTTTCATTTCCATACAATCTGTATTGCAATTTCCTCTAATTATCAAATCTTTAGAGGAAATCTGAGCTGGCTCCAGAAGTAATAGCATTCAACAAGCTCTCTCTTCCCTTCAAGCAAGCCTCCGCCCCCACTGGTCTTTTTCCTCAACTCAATCCCTGGTTCCCTGCCGCCAATGGATTACCATAGTTGCTAGGGCTCCAACCATCAATGCGGCAATCGTTAAACTTGCAGCTATTCCATTCAAACTCATCTCAATGTCCATTTCCTCTCAAACCCGTGTTGGGATCTCACTGTCTGTTGGTGGCAAAATGGTCAGGATTGGAATAGAAACTTGTTGGTTTCATGACCTTCATTTGAGATTTCATAACACAATTCTTAGTAGCTATTCTAGGATGCCAAGCTTTGGCGCATCTCGTTGAGGGTACCGCCTCGCTGAGCCCTCACATGGTCTACAAGGTATTGATTTATGTGAAGAAAGGTCTCTATCATTATTTTTCATTACAATCTTTCTACAGTTGATGGTGATCATGAATGGTAATACTGGTTGTAATGGTAATCGTTGTTTTGAAGATATGTACAGACAAGATGCGCGAACCTAGTAGCTAGGGATGGGGGGGTACAGGGAGTAGCCGGGCAAGGTCTTCTTGATATCCGGCCAGAGCTCGTACCATGCGGTCCCATAGGTAACGTCGCTCTCGTCAGTCAGGCCGACACAACTGGTGAGCATGGCCACAATACGTACTCCTCTGTCCAGAATAATGGCACCCGAGCCTCCCTTATTACAGAAGATGCCACATCCGCCATAGGACAGGATGGTGATCTCCAACGCTGTGGACTCGAGCCCGTACTCCCGGTAGTAGCAGACGAGAGACTCGAGTCCGTTTACCCAGCCCACCGTAGTGCCCCTGGTCAAGCCGTTCTTGATGACTGGCACAGTGTTCCCAACCGTCCCGGGCAGAAGTTAGGATGGACCACAGGACGGGGGTCCGTCTAGGGCAGAGTTCCAGGAACTGGCGTCCGTCCCGTCCAAAGCTAAGGACGGACGGGCTAGCCTGGTCTAAGTAGTTGGGGAATATGACGTCACGATATTCCCCTTCCTGATCTTGCCACCTGCGGAATAATAGTAATGGGTTAATCAGTTAGCCCGGGACGGCCGGAGGGGCCCTATAGGCATCTCACCTGCAAATAGACCTGAAAATGGCGGCCGGGCCCTACAGATGATGGTCGGGCCCTGTGAATGACGGCCGGGCTCTGCAGATGACGGCCGGGCCCTGGTGAGGACGGCTGGAAGATGCCATTTGTATTGAGACCCCCGGGCCTGGGCGTCAACCCCTCGGACGGCAGTCTTTATCAAATACGGACGCCATGCCCTGCCGTCCTGGCCCACCGCGCCCGGGACGGTTGGGAACACTGGGAGGATGAAACCGATAGATCACTGCTGCTGGTTGCTCATGAGCTTCGTCACGTCGCTGTGGAGTAAGTTCAAGTGTTGGGTGTTCCTCTTCGCCTTCTTCACCTCCTGCAGGGCCTCCAGGAGTGACTTGGTATACACCTTAGCATCCCTCAAGTCTACGTCCTGGAGCAGGGCCATCCTACGGATCTTGCTCCGCAACGAGGTGTTAATTTCGTGGAGGGTACCGATTCTGGACATGATGTTTGTGGTAGCGTCCTGATAGGCCTTGCTGCCAAGGGCGATAATCTCCATGCGGTACCGGAAGCCATTCCGG